CAGGTCTATTCAGTGCATCCTATTTAAAAACATTTCTTTAATAAGGAAAGCATTTTCTCTTCTGTTTATTAAAGGCAGCTGCACTTGCAACACACATTTAAAAATTATATAAAGCTTCCACGTATAAATAAATAAACAGCTATTGATAAAACACTTTGAAATTAACAACTGCAGTTGGAATACTGCACACTGATCTCTTTTTGTATTGCAGGAATGAACAGTTCGTGCTCTCTTTCATGTCTAACAACATATTTTCAAGATATTTTAGGTTGTCTGACTCTGCAGAACAATTTTGTCTTTTAATTCAGTCTATCGCTGCTCATTTCTACCTTTCAGAATTCTCAAATTTTACGTTTTGGCCCAAAAAACACAGAAACTTAGAAAAAACAAAATCACAAAAGTCGTTGAGCGACAGATTCTTTCAAAAGGAAAGGCTTGTAAAGTGACTTCAACCACAACCACAAACCAGAAAACGATTCACCCTGCACTCAAAACTCAGCCCACAACTGCTGCTGCTCAGAATGACTCAGTCCAGTTTAGCACATCCACAGCAGCACTCTGATCCCTCTTCCTTTTAATGCGCACTCTCATGGCGGGGTGTTAATGGCTTACACAACAGATGTTTAATATGCCCCGTTTCAATCCATGAGAGACGAAAACCACCTGCAGCCTAAGAAACATACATGACAACCTGCGACCCCTGCTCCCCCTCCTCTCAGAGGCAAAACAAGGCTGTTCACACATACGCCCTTTTTTTCCCCGTTTCATGAGCAACGACGACGCACACAGACACGAAACCAGCGGAAGACAACATGCAAAACAGCGAGTGTGGGAGATGGAGTGTGAACGAGAGAGGAGGAGGAGAGAGATGGAGGAAGTGAAATGGAGAAGCGGAGCGATGACAGCTTCCATCTGCTGGAGAGCTGCTGATGGTTTCCTCAGACAGTCGCGTCCACTTGGATCAGGATGTATGCGTACGCAGTAATGAAGTAATGAGGGTGTTTAACAGAAGTGTGTTTTATAGCAACAATTAGCGGGGGAGGAATGTTGCCTCATCATGTATGGAGCAGTCAGTTTTATGAACAGCTGCAATTCATCTCACTGGGAGAATAGTAACTCCTTTCATAACCTCAGTGCCTCGCAAAAAAAAAAAAAAGAAAAAATACTCATGGCTTTTTAATCTTCGGTGTATTTTATTGGGATTTTAAGTAATAGAACAACACAAAGTAAAGTGTAATAGTAAAGTGAAATGAAAATGTCAATATCCTTTCATGACATTTTATTCATATTTTTACTACTTTTATTGTGATTATTGCTAAATAAAGTCCAGGGAAAGCTGTCAGAGGTTAAACAAACAGCGCCATGAAAGACCAAGAAGCACTACAGACAAGTGGAGAACAAAGACGTGGACAAGTTTAAAGCAAGGGTAAGTCATTAAAAGTAAATCCCAACATCTCAGCAAGTACGGTTCCATACATCATCAAACGGAAAGAGTATGGCACGCCTCCAAAACCTACTCAGATATGGCCGTCCATCTAGACTGACGGGTTGAACAAGGAGAGCATTAATCTGAGACGCGGTCGAAATCTAAGGCCCCGGCAAATCTAGTAGCACAAATCTGACCTTTATGGAAGAAAGCCATTATTATTGTTATTTATTTATTTTTGTAATAGATGTTTGTTTTATTGTCAAAAAAAAAAAAGTCTTTAATATTAAGCCTCAGGGGAAAGCAAACATGCAGGTAAAGGTGCTCTGCTCTGATGAGGTCAAACTTGGACTTTTTTCACTCAAATTATGAAATATTGCGAAGGATAAATTAATCTGTATACTTCTTTTACATTTGTTTCCTTTTTTTGCTAAATGGATTATTAGAAAATAGGCATTATTTGGATGAATAATATAGTATTTCATCATAAGAAAATAGCTTTTAGTAAATTTTTTTGTATAAATCTTAATTTAGGTGTAATTATTTTAAAGCTGTTAAATTTATCCAAATTCTGTGAATTAAAAAAAAATCTATTTTCTGTAAAGTTGTGATAAATGTTCACTGAGAAACAAATAATTCATCCTGCACTGATTGAGATTCATTACTTATGTACGTTTACCACTTCTACAATTAATGAGACATTTAACTTTATTTTATTTATTTGGGTTTTATCTGTAACATAGAGATGTGAACTCAAAGCACCACTGGAGGTTTGATTTTCCAGGAAAGGCTGCAGTGGTTGCAAAAGGCTGAAACAGGTGTGATGTGTTCATTGGTTAGACACTTTGACCCTGAGGTGAACAAGGAAGCCTGCCTTTTCCTCTCTTTTTCTCACGCAAGACCTGATCTTGTCACGGATAATATTTTCAGATATCCCGCTGTGCGGTCACATCAGCACACCGATTCTAATGAAAAGAGAATTTTGCCTACCGCTAAGTTCTTGTGGTACAGGTGTGTAAAAAGTCTCCAGGGTGACAGTTTAATGCCACATTTGTGTCAAATGAGAGAGATGGTAGAAATACGCTGTGCGACAGAAAGCTACTTTCACTTTGGATTCAGCATTAAGGCTGCATATTCTCCCAGAAAATACGTTTTGCCTCATCTGAGCCGAACCCTGAAATCGGAGTGATGTGATTGATTCTGATGTTCTGAGTTCTTATATCATGCCTCTATTGTACTGTACAGTATACTATATTTGGGTTTGCTCAAAGTAGCAGACTCACACACTTTGCAGAAGATGGAGAAAAATTACTTGGTTTTGGGGGAAAAATATCCCCCAAAAAACAGCCATTGCAGTTCTGCAGAAGCTGACAGAAGCAAGGCAGAAAAAAGATAAATCTTTTATATAAGACAAAGGTATGGAAGGACACCATGTTTTAAAAATGAGCTTGTCAAATAAATAATGCATGTTTCTTAGTAGAAGTATTCAAAAATATTGTATTGATCTAATATCAACTATACTTAATAGCTTGTAACATTTCCAGGAGTCATCTAGAGGTCAAGTGATGATTTTCTATTTCTTCCTCTTCCTCCCTGCTTGTGGAGGAGCTGGACATTTGTGTTTTTATGGGATCACCCTCATTTATTTAGAACTAAATTAATTAACCACTGTGTTCAGGCAAACTTGTAGAAAGTTGAGTGGAAGGAAAAATGAAAAAAAGTGAGGTTGATTACTTCACAAAGAATCATCCAATCCTGCCTAAGATCTTCCAGAACCATGTTTTGAGTGATGATCTGAAGAACATGGGCCGAAACGTCCAAAAATGTATGAATGACACATAAACAGCATTTGATATCACCATATCCATTATGAAACATACTCTCTGGTTTCTTTGATTTTTGATGGAACTTGGGTTTTGTCAGGGTGGATAAAGTCATAAACACCTTTTAGGTGTCTGATAGAAAACTCAGGAAGATGAGTCATTTTAGTTTTTTGGTCCAAACACTTTGAATCAAAAGACTGAGAAAAGTAAAGTTTTTGGAGTGGCCAAACGAGATTTCAGAGCTAAATCTGACAGAAAATCTGTGGGATTATCTGACTAGATCTGAGAACTAGAAAAGTTCTCACAATCCGAAAGATTTGGAAAACTTTCAGACGTCACAGTGGGTAAATATTATTGCAGAGAAGAGCCAAAGTAAAAGGTGGTTCAGCATGATGGTTTGCTATCTGAAACAGTTTTTTTTTTTCTTCATCAATTGAAGTTTGCTGTACAGGTTGATGTATCAATCCTGATGAGCAATAGTCACACACTGCTGACCTGGCCAGAGTCCCGGCTGCAACCCCGGCCAAGTCACATCACAGTATACCTTCACCTCAGATGCACAGTCATTGGATGACTGACATTCAGTCCTCTGACAAAGTTTTTCTTTTCTTTTGTTAGTCAGGCCAGCCACAAGCAGAGCGATGACTCTGTCCCTTTGAGGTTCGGTCAGCTGTGACATTGAGCGGACGTTTCTGTCAGCGGTCATTCTGCTGTGCTGGATCACACAATTTTCAGAGATATAGGTTCATTTCTCTAAAATAAAAAGCTATATTTAAAAAACCTGCTTCGCTCGGGTCAAACCTTACAGCTATCTCATTTATTTGATGTTTCAAGTTCACAGTGCTGCCGTGTGATGGACTGGCGACCTGTCTGCGGTGAACGTCACCTCTCGCCCGAAAAGTCTCGCTGGAGATAGGCACCACCAGCACCTCTCCTGACCCCGTCAGGGACAAGGGTGTACAGAAAATGGATCGATGGGTGAAATTCACAGTGGCTTGCAAAAGCATTCACATTTTTTGCACACATTTTCCCCATTTCTTCCTGTTACAGATCTTAAAGTATTTTATTTGGATTTTATGTGAAATGCCTTCACAAATTAGTGTTTGATTGAGTTGTGGAATACTACACCAGCTTCATAGTTTTCACCCAAAAAAAGTCTGAAAACTGTCAATTTGTCCTCAGCCTTATTTACGCAGATACTCTGAAGTGTCTTTAGAATACCCGGAAGTGCACCTGTGTGGGCAGAAAAGACAGAGAAACAAGGCAGCACTGGGCATAACCCCAGCGTGAAACAATGTGCAAGATTGGCCCAGTCAAAGTAATCGGAAAAGGCGATATTGACATATGCGATCCACCCAATCTGACTGAGAAATCTTGTGTCATCTTGTGTCATTTTTTTCCCCTTATCCACACCATTAATTCTCGCTGCGTTTGTTTGGTCTGTCACATAAACTACTTGAAAACTAAAATGTAAACACTTTTTTTTTTTTTTTTCAAATGACAACGTCATGATCTTATTTACCAAACAGATGACTCCTCGGTCACACTGCTACCTGCGCAGACAAGTAGCAGTTCTGTGATCTCCATCACCATATAGCCAAGCCCAGACGACCTCGCGTGTGCGCGCGCTCCCACATGACGCGAGGCGCTCCGGCACATGACATATTTGGCTTTGAAGTGACGTCACGGCAACGTGGGGCTCGGCAGGCAGGTCGTTCGTCAGTCTAAGAGGAGCAGCAGGAGGAGACGGACCATCCTCCTCTCCTCTGTAATGACAAGCTCTCATTTCTCTCTCTCTCTTCCTCTCTCTCTCTCTCTCTCCAACTCCTCAGAAACAATCCTCATCCTCTAGGACTCTCCCTCATCGCGCTCCTTCTTCCTTCCTTCACTTTCGCCTATTTTCCATAATTTTTCTCCCCATCCCTTTCTTTTTACTTTCTCCGAAACCCATCCTCAACCCTGAACACCTCCAGAGATGTGAGGAGATAATGAGGACCCCCTGCCAGCGCTGCTGACTTGGAAGATCCGTGCATCCTCATCTTTTGCTCTCTCTCTATCTCTCTCTCTGTCTCTCTTCCTCTCTCTCTCCTTTTTCTCGGAGGTTCATCTGCCTCTCAACAATGTAAGCGACGTACTGTCAGTTCAGTGATGAAGAAGCACACTACTTGGTCCGTTTTCCCCGCATCTCATGTGCTCGCTCTTCCAGTCGGAGGGAAGGAATGAAGGATTTTGCGCGGAGGCAAAGTTTGAGGGCACCTGCTCACCTGGCCGCCTCTGCCTTTAACTGATTACCAGGAAGAGAGCAGAACAGCAGATGAAGAACTTCTGAGCGAGCTGACTGTTGTTCTGGCGTTTCTAGTTATTTATTTATGTATTAATTTATTTGTTTTTCTCGCTTGAGTGGGATTTGGTCACCTTCTTGGAGGAATTCGACGTGCGCCACGTTGAAGGATATGACTTAGAACAAAGATGCTGGCGTTGACAGCTGGAGTAAGGTCCGTGACTTGAGTGCTTGTCTCACTTCAGACTAGAAATTGCCCCAGACGTAGGCGAACAGCCGTCCAAATGGGAGGATACCTGGAGGACTGAGGCGGATTCGGCAGCCGAGATAAGATGTGGATAAAAAGGAGCGCTGCTGCGCGCAGGTGAGACACGTCCGCTGCCGATTAAAATAGCGTGTTTGGGTTCAGATCTGTCACTTTGACGCTCGAATAACCCGAATAGCCCATCCTGTCGAAAGTCGGACACCCCTCTTCACAACACGTCTCAGTTTTTAAATCTACGCCACGGCAACTTAATGAGTTCATCGGAATTGAATTCATGCACGCGAAGACTCCGAGAAAAGACAATTGCAAAGGGGAATAACGCATTTCACACACTGCACAGCTTTTAAAATGAAGTGCTGTCAACGTGGAATATTTAGGCGAAAACATTGTGATTTTCAGAGGAAACATTCAAAACGTTCGTATCAGGAACGCTAGGGGTCACCAACAGCACAGCTCAAACGACTCACGCGGTCACAGACGCACGCGCGCACAGCCTCAAGGTTAGCCTTGGCAGCTCCGCCCCACTTCTGAGAGCAAACATATGGAAAGATGCAATCATAAAGTAATTAGAAGGCCAATTTATGGAGGCTAAATGAAAGGTAATTATACGTCCCTATGATAGTAACGCCATTGATTTAAGGGTCAATGCCCATAACATGTTTCAGAGTTTTGGGCTCTGAAAGTTTCTTTTGCTGTTTACTGATCTGAGCTTATCAAGGGTAGGAAACAATGTTCCATGGAAGCTATTGGGAGAGAGGCTCTGAGGCTGACCTCACAGAACTGTTGTCCTTTTCAATGTTTCACTTTCATGTTACTTTGAACAAGATGGGAAACAGGCTGCTCAGCTCAAGCTTCCAAAGAAGTGTCCGACCGAAAGCCAAAATTTGCCACATTCATTCCCCGTGAAGGTAGCCAATACTCCTAAATGAGCAACAGTCTAATGTTATTCAGATTCTTCAGACACCTGCTGAATCTCACTCCTGCCTGGCATATCTAATTCCTTCCCGTTTGCAGGCACACATTTATTATGCATGACACGCTCTCCACATCCTAGGCTGACCTCACAGGGTAATGGCAGTGCACGGCGTCGGCAGAGCAGCAGATGCACAAGATGATGAAACAAATTGGTTTCAGATGCGGTGTGGTCCAAAGCTGGACCAGATCTGCTTCCCTGTTGAGGAATTTTCTTGCTGCTTGTTGGGTGGGGATGTGGAACGTCAAAATGCCTGGAGAAACGGCAACTGGTGTCATGGGCCGCAGCAGCATTTTATGAGTTGTTAGCCACTTTGTTTGAAACGGCAGCTGAAGGCTTGAGTCGTCTGTTCTTGTTGGGTGTTTCTTCGGTCAGTGATGGCGAGTGGATCCTGCAGGGACAATTCTTACTGTCCATAAACTGTGTGTGCTTATGTGGAATAAAAAGTGGAAGTTGTGCAGGAAGAGCTACTGTACCTGTTTGAACAAATGAAGAACAACCTGCCCTAGAGATATGTGGGCGAAAGTTAAAAGACATTGCCTTAGCAAAATTTTAAAAAAGGAAATTTTGGAAGATGAAAAAAAAAAAACTCCACACTACAGCCTTTGGATTGTAATTCGTTTATTCATTCTGTTATTCATTATGGATTCTAGGCAACTGATCTCTTTAGGAATCTCTGTCAAAAAGGCTTTATGATTACTCCTTGTCAAAATTTCGACCTGTAAACGCCCTGGCGAAGGTTTATTCTATTGTTATTGTGATAAACTTAATCTTTCTTGCCATTTAATATTAGGTAGAAGACAAAGTATTAGGTTGTATAAATACTTTTAAAGCATAAATCTGAAGGTGACCAGTGGATCCACTGTTAAAGAGTTGGAAAAAGCCTTGGAAAAAAAAAATCATTATTTTACTTCTGAAAATGTCACTCTTCAGTTAGAGTGCATTTATTCAGTGGGGGGAAGAGCAACGTATCATAAAAATTAACTGCAAACTTTTATTGCCATCATGCAGAGACGGAAAACAAGAATCCAGCGTATTGTCAGAGAAATGCAGTAAAGTCAGGCATCCGGTGTTATCAATTCTGCATAACAGCAATTACATGCCATCCATATGCCCATCAGGTAGTGGTAAGACATTCCAACCAAGCATTTTTTTTCGTCCCACCATCACAAATTTAAAAAAATGTGGATTTTCTGGGTGGCGTTGATGTAAAACTAAGGATGAAAAGGACAACAATTACTCTGTGCCCACTGTTAATCATGGTAGTTATCTGTGATGCTGCGGCGCCTTTTTCTCCTCCAAAGGGCCTATGAACCTTCTTCATGTTGGGTGTTTTTCATAGGCCCTTTGACATCTTTAAATGAATTACCACATAATTCTACATTTAATGGTGGCTTCCTTTTACCTACTGAAAATCGATTAATATGGTGTATTACTGTCAGATAATGATCCAAAAGAAATAGCACAGTGAACAGTAATTGTCAATCATACGCAAAATCAACTTTATTCTCTGGATCAGCCAGAACTCTGAGTATTCGAGTTAAACAGGTCAAAGGTCCCTCACTCATTTTTTTCTCTAAATCTGGAAAATATTATAGAAACCTAAGACTTGACCAACTGGTAAAGGGAGGCAGCACAAAATGATCAACAGCGACTTCTGTGATATCAGTGATAAAAAAAAAAACAATAATTAAAATCATAATTTTTATTATTGACAAGGTTTCACAACTGAGATTATACAACTGGAATAATAATGTTAATAATATTTAAAGCATGCTTATAATCAAAAAATATTCTTGTAGTGTGTGCGTGGGTGTGTGTGTGTGTGTGAGTGTGTGTGTGTGTGTGTGTGTGTGTGTGTGTGTGTGTGCGTGTGTGTGTGTGTGTGTGTGTGTGTGTGTGTGTGTGTGCGTGTGTGTGTGTGTGTGTGCTCCATTTGGCCAAAAAGGAAGCTTGTAACTAGTTTGACAGAAGTACTGGTTCTGTAGCACACTAACAGATAGTTAAATATCTTTTTCATCATTCTTCTGGTTGCTTTAAGTTATTTGTGTAGAAATATGGCTGCAAAATTGGCTGTTGGTGAGAATATATGTTTTAGATTTTTTATGAACAGCTATGTTAAAATACATTGGGATTTCTCTCATTGTAAATTAAATCCCAAATACATGATAGATTGTCCCAATGGAAGACAAATTTACGTGCGATCCAGAGACAAAAGCAGCTGTAATTGTGTATAATTTGAGTCTACCGGCCACCATTCATCTATGCCAGGCTCCACACCTCGGTACTGAATCTTTCATGGATGTCACACAGTTTTGGCCTCCCCACGGAGAGCCCTCATCCCACCAGCACACAGGAGATGCTATCAGCCTTCAGATTACTGTGGCTGCATAACGTAACGGGCAGAGACACCAGTTATCTTTCCCAAGGACCTTTCTTCTTGTCGAGTCGTCTCCCGGAGGCTACCGTTTCTTGGGGTGTATAATTATTTTCAGTCTGGATAAATATTGAATTTATTCAAACGTTGATAAAAAGAGGAAGTTGTTCAGCTGATCTTTGTGTGCTAAGAAAGCTAAGGCAGCACATCCTGATATTCATGGGGAGCACGTACTGTACGCGCTGTGTTACCGCTACACTAAATTGTGGTTTGTATCTGACTGATGGTCTAATTTTGAACAATATAAGTGGCTTAATGAACAAGGGCCCCGAATACACAAAGCAACTGCGCAGCATCAGCGGCCTGCAGCTGATGGACTTTATGTGACCTGCCTCTTCGTTCTTAGGCTTTCACCACAACTCCTGTGCCAAACGTGGCATTTCTTTATGAGGGGGCATCAGATATCCAGATAGTCCTATGATTTAGGTGCCATCTTAATAGCCTCTATGAGGGTTATTAACTGGGCCTCTCTGGAGTGTGATTAACCTAATTTGCAGAGAAATAGGCTGTGTTGCTTCTCCGAGATCGTATCCTCTGGAGGTGTGTGTGTGTGTGTGTGTGTCTGTAAGAGCGTGTCGGTAACACCATGTGCTCAGTAGTCTATCTAATCCAGGCGGACCAAGACAGGTTGTCCCTGTCTAACGGCAAAAGATACGAAGCGTCCATCTGTGGTTCATGTGACCAAACCTGAGAATTTGTTTAGAGAGGCATGAAAACAAGATCTGTTGCATAAAGCATAAATTACACAACACTAACTTGGATTGTAGCTGTAAGTAAAGATAGATTACTGGATTTGGATCATGGCTACTGTTTTGATTTCCTTTTCCCCTCTACAACACATAAATGTATATCGAATGCTTGAGATGAGAGGGATGGAGTTTGATTTTATAGCCCTGGAAAAAAAATAAAATAAATAACACTAGCTGTTAAAGTTGGTCACTGTGACCATAGTATCATACATTATAGTTTTTCCGCTTTGTTTTATGACTTGAATCTCTAAAGTTCCTTAGAGCATGGAGCTGAGCTGTAAAGTTTGAAACAGTGATCTGATCTGAAAACTACCGATAATCTTTTGGAGCAAAGCTACTTTCCAATCTAATAACTTTCACCCATTTGGATTTAAAGTAGTTCATAGAGACAGCAAGCTGAAGGTACAAGCAGGTCTTTAGTACAGAAATTGGTAGGTGATGAAAATCGGATCAGCCATTGCTTACCGGATGGTTGGAAAAGTAAAAATTTGGTTGTTTTTCACAGGGAATGACTCTGCCACTTGATCTCTGATACAGAAAGATGATGGTTATGTTAAGAATCAAGGAGGTGTTTGAAGTGAAGTCAGAAGGAGCACAAGATAAATGAAGGGACAGGATAATGTGAAAGTGACTTTTTTTCAGCTTTTACATCATGTTACTCTCACATTAACAATATACCTGGAGTGTTGCCTTGAATCAAGTTTGAGAAATCATTTAATCTCCCATGGCAGCCATTCAGGTGTGGAAAACGGTTGCCAGGAAGAGCGATGTTGTGATAAATTTCTGAGATCATCTTCCACCTTTCAGAAGGAGCAAGAGTTTCTTAAAGACACACAGCATGTAAAGGTGTAAATATAAAGGCGTTAAACTGCAAAGTCAAATTTCTCTTAAGTCATATTTGATATATGCAGCATTTTTATAACAACTGAAGGTAACATAT